CTGATGGTACACCTGGCTCTGACACACTCCTCAGGGTGCTCCCTGGGTCCCCCAGAGGGGCAGCGGGCTGCTGAGAGGGAAAGGATAGGTGGGGGCAGTTCGGAAAAGTGGAAGCTGGCCAGGCTGGGCTCACATGGGCAGTCCTGGAGGAGAGAGAAGCTGGCCAGGCTGAGCTCACACGGGCAGTCCTGGAGGAGAAGGATGGTGGCCAGGCTGGGCTCACACGGGCAGTCCTGGAGGAGAGGGATGGTGGCCAGGCTGGGCTCACACGGGCCGTCCTGGAGGAGAGGGATGGTTGGAGCTCAGGGGCAGAGGCAGGGCAGATGATAGCATCGCACACCACAGCGCCTTCTGAGGACACACAGGGTAGATGTCCCCTCAGCCAGGGAGGGGGCACCCACCAGAGCCACCGGGGGTTACAGTTCTGGGCACTGCCCTGCCCCAGCCCAGCCTCTGACTGTTTCATGGTCCTGGGGAAACCCTGTACTTCCTCGTCGCAGCCACGTGAGCACTGCTGTGTGTCAATACAGAGGTGTCGCATCCCTCAGGAGGGAAGTAGGATCCACCAGGGAGAGGAGAGGCTTCGGAGAGTCAGTCAGGGGGAGGAGTGAGGGTGGCTCTCAGGGCCGCATGGACTGAGAGCCAGCAGGGAGTTGGTGGCTGGGCCTGGCCATCTGCTCTCTGTCACCAGCATGGCGCCCCTGGAGCTCAGCAGCTCTGGGACTTTGCACATGGCAGGAAATCGAGGGGGGTGAGGCAGCCTGGAAGAAAGGTGTAAGAGCCAGTGAGAGGTGCCCTGTACTCTGAGGAAGCAGCAGGAGGCGGTGTGGGCTCAGGAGATGGCTCAGCCAGCAAAGCGCTTGGTGCAAGGACCAGGGTCTGCATCCTGCATCCATAGCATCTGCACAAAGACCTATAATCTGAGGAAGTTAACCAGGGGCACTGAGCCAGTCCCGCCAACCAGGGAGCTCCAGGCAAGGAGAGACCTTGACCCAAAAGAACAGATTTAAAAGGTAAATGGTGATAGAGGAAGAAGACGCCCAAAGCAGACCTCTGGCTTCTGTGTGTGTGTGTCAGAACACACCGACAGGAACATGCATAAACACACGCACACACACCCACATACAGACACACCCACATCCACACCCACACAGACATCCACCCACATCCACCATCCCCCCCACATCACCACTGCCTCCCAAGGATGAGTGCTGGGAATGCTGGGACACACATGTCACCCACTGTCCCAGAGTCTGAGGTGGGAGGGAAATGTGCAGCGTCTCAGGGGCTGTGTGAGGAGAATGAAGGGAGCTGGCAGTCTGCCATGGGGTGGCGACGGCAGATGCCAGCTCAGTGCTCCAGGAGGGAAGCAGGGAAGAGACCCTGGGAACCACTTCCCTGTCACAGGGGCCTGGCCGGATAGGGACACTGCACAGAGACAAATCCTGTCTCTCTGTGCTCCTGACGTGAGAGCCGCCCATGGGAGCGGGCCGGGGAGTCACCTTCTGCTCAGGGACAGGAAGGGGTGTGACAGGGCTGAGTCCTCCTGGGCAGATTGGTGATGGAGGAACTCAGGGAGAGAGGGGCGGAGCCGGTGGGCTCCCAAAGCTTCAGCCCAACCGTCCTCACACAGACAAGCCCCTTCAGCCTTTCCTGTCCCTAGCCTAAGCCTCAGGCCTCCTAAGACCCCCTCTGTGGGATTCTTACTTGAGACCTTCTGCCATTATGCCCCAACCCGTCACAGTCTGGGACTGCTGGGATGAATGGAGGCCTCCCATCCCCCCCCCCCCCCCCCCCCCCCCCCGCAAAGACAGGGCTTCTCTGTGTAACAGCCTTAAAAAAAAAAAAAAAAAAAAAGCTCCATCTGCATATACACCTGCACGCCAGGAGAGGTCAGCAGATCTCATTATAGTGGTTGGGAATTGAACTCAGGACCTCTGGAAGAGCAGCCAGTGCTCCTAACCGCTGAGCCATCTCTCCAGCCCCTAGTGCCCCCCATTCTTATGACCTGGATCTTCTGCCTGTCAAAAGCTCAGGCTTTGAACTTGGGTTTCCTTTGGGGGAGGGGTTGCTCCATATCACCCACAGCTTCTCACCCAACCAACTCACTGCGCTAGGCATTCACTCACCCTCTGACCAACCAGCTCTCCCCCCCAACCCCCACCACAGAGAGCAGCCTCCAAACCAACTCACCAGCTCTCCCCCAACCCCCACCACAGAGAGCAGCCTCCTCTCCACTCCTGGAGCGCGCGCACACACACACACACACACACACCACACACCCCGGCAGAGTACAGCCGGTTTGTTAGCTGCAGGGGGTGCAATTCTGATGCCGGGGAGCAGCAAATGCACAGGCCACGGGGACGTTCAATTCATGAATTATCTAGTGACAGATAAACAGAGAAGCAAGACCCCTGGAGCTGGAGTTACAGATGGTCGTGAGCCTCCATAAGGGTGCTGGGAATTGAACCCGGGTCCTTTGGAAGAGCAGCCAGTGCTCCTAACCCCGAAGCCATCTCTCCAGCCCCTTCCAGGCATTATTTTCAGATGATGGATAATGGACACAGTCGGGAGGGAAACTGGAAACAGGGGAACAGACAGGGTTTCGGTAAGAAGACAGAGCACTGATTGGAGCGTCTAGGTCCCAGATACGGGCAGGGCGGTGGAGGATGGGAAGAGGGTGGCCGGAGAAGACGGGAGGAGGGAGGCCAGGTGAGGAACGTGACTGTGTGGGCGGCTGGAAGCTGGCGGGAGGCCGAGAGAGAGACTCCTCAGGAAGCACCGGCTGGCTGTGTTGGCCAAGGTCTGACGGCAGCGGGGAGGAATGTGAAGATGAAAACAAGGCAGGTGCCTGCTCTGATGCCGGGGAGGCTGTGCTGGAAGGCGGTGTGGCTTTCTCCCCACCCATCTGGGGATGCCCACATTCTCAGACCACAAAGGCTGCTTTCCGTGGTGCTGTCCCTGCCCTTCTCACCCTACCGCAGCCCGGGGCTCCTTCCCCAGGTCCTGGCTGGGGCCTGAGAGTCTAGGGAGGATTGGGGAAGGCACCCGCAGGCTCCAGGAGGCGCGGCCACCCCACGATCCCGGTGAGGGCTGAAGGGAGACGCCTGGCTTGCCTTTCCAAAGGAGAGAGCAGCTAGGAACTCCAGCCGCTGAGCTGCCCTGCAGGGACCACATCCTGCTCCCCTTTAATTTATTCTTTCTGATAACCGCCTGTCCAATCTCTATAAACCTTTAAAAGCGGGCGGTATGTAAGATAATCCCAGAGGACCTGGGTTTGGTTCCCAGCGCCTTCCATAGAGGCTAACAACCACCTGTGTCTCCAGTTCCCGGCACCCGACGCCCTCTTCTGGCCTCTTTGGGAACCACAACCTCACTGTGCACATGCACACGTGTAGGCAAAACACACATGCGCACAGAATTGAAGCAGGACAGAACAAAAACGAAACTGGAAGGAATACAAAACTAGCCCCAGCGGGAAGAGGACTAGCTCAGGTCGGCATCACACTGCCTAATGGATGGGAGGCTCTGGGCTCCGTCCTCGGTGACCCCTCCCCATCCCAGGTCCCCCATCAGAGAGGTTGGCAAATTGCCCAAAGCACAGGAGTAGCCAGGACTGAAACCCCCGTTCTCCTAGTCCTAAAGCGGCGGTTGTTTTGCTGTCCCCATCCACTGCCCATCTCAGGGCTCGTGTTCCGGTCGCTCTTGTCTGCAGGGCTCCCTGGGCCTCTTCCCCTTCCAGCCCCTCCTCTAGGTACCAGCAAGAAGTAGAGGACAAGATGGTGTTTAATGAACCTTAAACAACACAAAAGACTCAGTGGCTTATACCAGTCCCAAGTGCTTGTAGCCCTTGCAGCGTGGGGAGAGCTGGGGTGTCGGACAGTACCGACATGGGCCACGTTCACCGTCACATGGGCCAGAACTTGGGGCAGGGCAGGGAGAGAAGACCAGCCCAAGGGCTGGAGGGAGACGCTTTGCGAAGAGACCGACATCTGAAGGAGTGTGGGCGAAGCGGGGAAGGATTGAGTGAGGGACCCTGCCTCCGATACTGATACTCCCACGGCTAGTGAGCTGTTGGCTGGGGTGGGGCCTGGGCTGCAGCAGGAGGGAGGGACGTCAGTGCAGGGCAAACTGCCTCTTGGTGGATCCCAGGGCTCTGGCCCTCCTTTATCCTGCTCAGGAGCAAACCTTGGATGCTCTCTGTTTGCCCATCCAGGCCAAGCTCATGGCCTGGCCACCACCTTCCCAATTAGCCTCATTGGCCTCTTGCTCATCCTCCTGTGTCTGGGTCACTACCGTGGGACAGGGACTGTGAGTGGCCTGTGAGTCACCGAGGCCTAGCCATGACAGGGGTTCCAACCCAGACCTCTCCCTAGTCCAAACTCTGGTACCCACTGCCTGTTCCCCACCCCAGCTGCCAGGAAAGCCCCCAGAGGGGAGCCCTCCGGTTTTCAGCACATCCATGTCTAGTTTGAGAGGGGGAAAGTGTTGATTAGACACTTTAACGGGCCGGTGGCAGCAGGCTGGCACTCGGGCATTGGCTCCAGGGGACCCCAGGAAACAAGCAGACAGGAGGGCGGTGTGAGCCCCGGTGGAGTTGGGACTGTGTAGTGGGCTGAGCAGGGGCAGGAGGGGAAGCCGAAATGCCCACTCTTTCCAGTGGAGGAGGCTGGGATGTGGGCAAGCCGGGGAGAGGGAGGGAAGAGCAGGGTGATTGGGCCCCTGGGTGAGAGTGGCCACCTTCTAGGGGGCAGCCGGGCAGCACCTGATTCAAGACCAGGCAGTGTGGAGCTAGGGAAGGCCAGCGAGGGCAGGGTCCGGTGCCCAGTGGCCTCAGGTTCCCCGAGCTGCAGTCGCTATGGCTGCTGAGTAGGCAGACGTGACAGCAGATTGCTTCAGCTTCTCCCGCCACACCAACTTCCCCCGGGGCAGCCTCCCCCTCCACCCCTCCTCCTCCCTGCCATGACTCCTGCCCAGAGAATGTCCAGCCCCGGCATAAAGGTCCTTGTGCCCACGAGTTTCTGTCAGTCGGGAGGCCACACTGTGCACCATGGGTTCCTCTCAGGCACCCGGGTTGGGGCGTGTGGGAGGGCACGGGCTGATGGCATTGCTGCTGGCCGGTTTCATTCTGCCAGGTATGAGTCCGGGGCCTTGGGAGGGGACAGTAGAGGATTCGGGCCTTAGGTTAGAGAGGCCGGGGGCACAGGCAGGGCTCTAGAATCCGACCTCTCTCTCTCTGGGACTGCTCCTCATCCATGCCTGGGCCCTCTCTGTGGTCACTGCAGACACATTCTTTTTCCTTTGTGCCACAGTGGCCAAGCAGGCAGGCACTTTGCCGCCAAGCTGTCCTATGAGAATGTTCTAAGCTTGTTTCTGAAACCTAGGAATGAGGTTAATATCACCCTGCCCCAAGTTCTGTCTCAAATTAAGTAACGCACACTAGGAGATAGAATCTGCCTGTTTTGTAGGAATGACGATTGCTACCACTTTGAGAGCCCTCTTTTACAAGCATGTGATGTGTGTGATGGGCTTCCTAGTCCCACTCTGTAGCTGAGGATCGGGAAGGGCCCAGAGGTCAGGGAACTGGCTTTAGATTGCAGTAGAAGCCGGGTATCCAGGATTCTGAGTGCAGGCTGGGTTGCTTGTGGCCTGTGCTGAGGGGTAAAGGGGCAGTGCCAGGGGGCGCTTTGCTGTGGGGGTAAACCAGGGCTTTTCTTTTGTTTGTTTGAGACAGGGTTTCTCTGTGTAGCCTTGGCTGTCCTGGACTCGCTTTGTAGGCCAGGCTGGCCTCGAACTCACAGATTCTGCCTCTTCCTCCCGCAGGGATTAAAGGCATGTACCACCAGGAATTCGGGGCTTTTCTGTTTGAGATGAGGCTGGGGTGTGCCAGGTGGTGTTGGCCCAGCGGCTGGTGGACTGCTTCTGTGTGGTTATGACGCTGTTTTTGGTATACATTTGCTGCTTTGGGGGCACACAGTGCAGAGAGCGATCGCGTGGAGTGATCACATGGTCTTTCCGGAGGCTCTGTAGGGAGCCACGGCAGGCTCTGCCTTTCTGAATTAGTAAGCCAGAGAAGGCCAGTCACCTGCTGCTGTGTGGCTCTGAAGGGGCTGAGGTAGGCAGAAGACACTGAGGGGAGGGCTGTGGAGACAGACCGAGGCACGAGGAGTACGGGATTGAGAGCAGAGAGTCTGTGGAGGACAGACCTGGGTCCAGGTCTCGGTTCAAGGCAGCAGGAGTCAGACGTGGGCAGAACGGGGGCAGCGGGTGCGTGTGAAGCCTGGGCGGGAGAGAGGGAGGCTGATGATGGTCACGCGCCTTGGAGGTTTCCTGCTTTGTCCTGGGCTGGGACATTGGGGAGAGCACGGGTGGCTCAGGGTGCGGTGTCCTGTCGTACCGGTACTGGCAGGTTCTGTAGCAACAGGTGAGTGCCCCCACAGCCCGGCCCCCACCCAGCCTCACTGGCATGGCCAGAGCTGGGGCAGGACGTGGGATCCCACCCCTTACCCAGTCTGGACTCTCACCAGGGAACTGGTGATCAAGTATTAATTGTGCTCTTCTTCTGCAAGCCGGCACCTCTGTGCTTGCTTCCTCTCCCTGGGGTCGAATGTTTCCTTCCTGTCTCTCACACACACACGTTTTGGTGGTACTGGGGTCAAGTCTATGGCCTTGTGATGCTAAGCCAATGGCCCAACCCTGCCTGGCCTTCTTATGTTCTTCGGTTTGGTTCTGTGGTCTGAGCCACGATTGCCCGGCACTGCTAACCCCACAGCTCAGCCTCCCCACTCTGTCTTGTTTCTGACCTCTTCGTTCGTTCCCCGCTGTCTGAAGGGCACTCCTTCAGTGCCTACCAGCAACCTTTGGTTTGACTTCCCCCACTCAGCCCTCACTGCTGGAACAATGGAACTGCCCTGGTTCTAGCACCTCCTCAGATAAAAAACAGCACTTCCTCTTTCTTCCTCTGAACTTGGGAGACTCCATGGGCTGATGGGCGAGGGATGAGGCCTGTTCTAATCTAGTCCTTACGGATCATTGCTCTTCTCTGCAGGAACATTGGCTAAGAGCATTGGGACCCTCTTGGACCCCTGTAAGGACCCCACAAGGATCACCTCCCCCAATGACCCCTGTGTCATTGGAAAGACTGGCTCCAGCAGCTTCGGCAGCCAAGGTGGATCCAGCAGCTTCAGCAGCCATGGCGGATCCAGCAGCTTCAGCAGCCAAGGTGGATCCAGCAGCTTCAGCAGCTCCCAGGGAGACTCTTCAGGATCTTTGATATATAAACCAGGAACAGGATATTCCCAGAGTAGCTATTCTTCTGGCTCTGGCTCCTCCCAGTCAGGAAGCAGTGGCTCCCAGTCAGGAAGCAGAGGTTCTCAGTCAGGAAGCAGCGGCTCTCAGACAGGAAGCAGCGGCTCTCAGTCAGGAAGCAGCGGCTCTCGATGGGTAAGCAGCAGCTTTCAGTACGGAAGCTCAAGCTCAGGGAGCATCCGGGAGGGACCAGGAAGTGGCTCTGCTCTGCCAACCGATGACAGATCTTCAGGCATCTCCCAGTCTGGAGGTTCCCACGCTTCCCAGAGCAGCAGCTCCAACCTGCGACCCTGTAGCTCCAACGTGCCCGACTCTCCCTGCAGTGGGGGCCCTGCCATCACACACTCGGGGCCCTACATCTCCAGCTCCCACTCCGTGTCAGGAGGGCAGAGGCCTGTAGTAGTGGTGGTGGAGCAACATGGCGCTGGGGGCCCTGGAGCATTTCAAGGCGTGCCCTGTGCCAACGGTGGCCCCTCGGGCAAGCCCTGCCCCCCCATCACCTCTGTCCAGAAACCGTACGGTGGCTACGAGGTGGTGGGTGGCTCGGCCAACAGTTATCTGGTCCCAGGCATGACCTACAGCGGGGGTAAGATCTACCCGGTGGGGTACTTCACCAAGGACAACCCCGTCAGGGGCTCGCCAGGGGCCCCCTCCTTTGCGGCTGGGCCCCCAGTCTCCGAGGGCAAGTACTTCTCCAGCAATCCCATCATCCCCAGCCACAGCTCTTCCGTTTCCAACGCCTACCCCTCGGGCCTGGTGTTCCAGCCCGTGGGCACCGGCGGGGTCCAGCCCTGTGGCACCGGCTCTGCCAGCTCTAAGGGGCCTTGCTCTGGTTCCAGAGTTCAGATCGTCTCCAGCAGCTCCAGCACCTCCTACCACCCCTGCGGCGGGGCTTCCCAGGGGCCCTGCTCGCCTCCTGGCCCCGGCTCCATCGGAGGGGGAAGCTCCTCCGTCTCCACCGGCAAAATCGTGCTTCAGCCCTGCGGCGGTCGGCCCAGCTCCTCCGCCTACCCGTGCCTTTCCGTTTCCACCTCCACCCTGAACGGGGCTCTGAACGGCTCCCCTCAGCCTATCCCCTCGGCCGGTGCCAAGCCCTGTGGCCTCAGCAGCCCCGGGAAGGTGCCCTGCCGTTCCATCCGGGACATTCTGGCCCAGGTGAAGCCGCTGGGGCCCCAGCTAGCGGACCCTGAGGTCTTTCTGCCCCAGGGAGAGCCGCTTGACAAGCCGTAAGTCACCCGCAGCCGTCTCCCGGCTGGAAGACGTCAGGGGCCCGGTTGCCTGCCCTCCTTCCCGGAGAGGAGCCTCCCACTCCAGCTAGCCCGGGGACGCAGGCTCCGGTCGGCAGCCCCAGTGGTGCGCTCCGTCCCTTCCCCCGCCCTCTCCTGGTGCTCCCGCCCCCTCCGCTGTGGTGCCCTCTCGCCTGATCGCCCGCTCTTGACCTCAACCCCGGATGCCCGACAAGTCAACCGCGCCTCTGCCGGTTCGCCAAATAAGGCCAAGCCCGATCCATCCCGGAGAAGAAGCCGCACTCTCGCTGACCCTCCACCATCTGCTCCCACAGCCCGCTCAACTGTTGGGTTCCCGCCGCCCCCTCATGGCAGACCCTACCAGGCCCATTTCCCACCCACGCGTGCCTCCCGGCTCTCCATGTCAGCCCCTGCCTGCTTGCCACGTCGCCCAAAGCACAGGTGGTGCCCTGTGCGCGTGTGGACCCCGGGGCACCCACGGAGCCTGGCACGGCCCCGGCTCTCCGGATCCTGGACAGGGCTCAATAAACTTCGTGAACTTTGTGCAGTCTTTTTTGCCTTCTTGGAGTCCTAGGCGTCTTCTTCGTACCTCGGTAGTACCCCGCCTCTGCCTCTAGAGGGCCCACGTGTCGTCCACGTCCCGCGTGGTGCTCCCGCCTGCCTAATTTGGCTCAGTGTTTCCCATCTTACACCTCCTCCTCCCACGGAGAAGCAAAACAACTGGCTATTGACTGAGCTGACAGCAGACTTGCCTGGTGTCCTTCCCCACGGCTCACTTCTCACCTCCAGGAAATCACACGGGAGCCTCCCCCTCCCCCCTCAAAATAAAACCCCGAATTATTTCCTTTTCTCACCCAGGCTTCCCATCAGCCTGCCTCGCCTTCCAAACACTGTCCTCTCTGGGAGTCCTTAGTGTCGAGCTTGAGTTTCTGGGACGCCGGACCAGCCCAGGCGAGATTCCTGGGGACTGAGCAGGAGCCTGGGTGCTCTGGGAGCTGGGGGCGGGGGGAGTAGGCAGCCGGTGAGACCGAGACTGGTGACTCACCGGCCTACTTAACAAGGCTCTGTGATAGACAGCCAGCAGCCTTCTCTCCACCCCGAGCCCAAGGTCTGCTGCGTGAGCTGTGTGTGTCCCAAAGGAAAGGCCTCGTTCCATGCACAAGGCTCTCAGAGCTTTTGAAAGGAAACTCACAGCCGGGCGTGGTGGCCTTTAATCTCAGCACCCAGGTAGAAGGTCTCTGTGAGTTAGAAGCCAGCCTGGTCTACATAGTGAGCTCCAAGACAGCCAGGGCTGTGTAGTGAGACCCTGTCTCAAAATAACAAAAACAAAATTGGGCAAAGTTGGTGTGTGTTGCCTCAAACCATTGAACCAAACTAAGGTTTCCTTCTGGCCATTTGAGGAAGGAGCTTGTTCCTCCTGATGGGGGGGGGGAGATTGGTGGGGTACTGGAGAAACCAGCCAGCACTCAATACTTTCCTCAGGCGGACGCCTGCCGGACAGTTGCGTAGGGGAGACTAAGAAAACAAAGGCGCTTAAGGGCCAGCAAGATGGCTCACCGGGTAAGAGCTTGCCCTGCGAGGCCGGTGGCCTGAGTTTGGTCACCAGAACCTATATAAAGGTAGAAGGAGAGATAGACTCTGGACCTCGACATGCACGCTACGGCACACACACACACATATATACACACACACAGGTCATACGTGTACAAAATAATAAGTTTTAAAACTTAAAAAGGCAACTCAATTTTCTTTATTAACTGGCCTGGTGGTATAGGCCCGTAACCCAGGCCTTTGGAAGCCTGAAGCAGAAGAATGACAAGTTTGAGGCCAGCCTGGGATACAGAGTGAGCGGAAGGCTTGGCAGACCTTATTTCAAAAGGGGGGCAGGGGGCAAGGCAGAGCAGAGTGGTACAGTGTTCGCCCAGCATGTGTGAGGACCGGGTTCAAGTCCCAGTATTACAAAGCAACATAAGCTCCTTTTATTATAAAAATGTCAAGCAATGGACGTTCGCTACTTTTATCTGTGAGACAGGATTTAGTGTAGCTCTGTCTGGCCTTGAACTCACTGTGAAACCAAGGGTCCTGGCTAGTTTTATGTCAGTTTGACACAAGTTAGAGTCATCAGAGGGAAGGGAGCCTTAACTGAGAAAATGCCTCTATAGAATGGGTCTGTAGGTCGTTTTCTTAGTTGGTGATCAGTGGGGAAGGCCTATGTGAGTGGGGCCATCCCCGCGCTGTGGTCCTGGGTTCTACAGAGAGCAGACTGAGCAGCCATGAGGAGCAAGCCAGCAAGCAGCACCCTCCACAGCCTCTGCACCAGCTCCTGCCTCCAGGTTCCTTCCCTGCGTGGGTTCCTGTCCTGACTTCCTTTGATGACAGTCATCAAACGCTGTCCTTCCCAGGTAGCTTTGGGCACAGTATTTCATCAACTAGAAACCCTAGCTAGGATGAGTGTAAACTCCTGATTCTCCTGCCGCTCCCTCCCCAGTGTTGCGACCGAAGGGTGTGCAGCTTTGTGCAGGATGGGACGAGGCCTCTGCATGCCAGGCGGGCACTCTAGCGGCTGAGCCATGCCCACAGCCCCCGAGTGTATCCGAATTAGTTCACTTTCTGTTGCCATAACAAAGCACCTGAGACTGGAAATGAGCAGCAACACAGGCCAATTTGGCTCATAGGTCTCTGCTTCTCTTTGTTTTTAAGCTCAGTTGTCAAAACTCAGGAGCATGGCTCCAGCACCTGCCTGGTTCTGAGGGTCATGGGAGAACGGAATGAGAGGAGAGGTCACAGGGCAGGGTGCCGGGAAGGCTGGGCTCACTGGTGGTTTGTCTGTTTACCTTATTTGTTTGTTTGTTTTGTTTTGTTTGCGACAGGGCCTCTGTATAGTCTGGCTGTCCTGAAACTTGCTGTATAGACCAGGATGGCCTCTGACTCACAGAGATCCTCCTCAGGAGAACTAGGACCAAAGATGTGACTACCATGCCTGCTGATCATTTATTTTTGCAGTGGCAGGGACTGAATTTTTGTATGTCAGGCAAGCACTCTACAGTTGAACTATTAAAACAAACAAAGACCCAGAAAACAAAAAGACCAAACCAAAAAAACAAGCAAAACCAAAATAAATAAATAACCCCAGCCCAAAAAACTTTAAAAAGTATTTGTATTAATATTTAGTTTTTAACTTTGTGTCTGGGTGTGGCTGTGTCTGGTATGAGCGTGAGGTAGGTACCTTAGGAGACTGGAACAGAGAGTCCATCCCTGAGAGCCAAGTCCCAGGTGGTTGTGGGTACTGGGAAGTAAACTCGGATCCTCTGCAGAGGCAGCAAGCTCCCCGAAACCTGTGATCTTCCTACTTCAGCCTCCAAGAAGCTGAGACTATGGGTTGGAGGCTCAGGCTCAGTCCAGCAGCAAGCCTTTGCCACAGGTGTGAATTCACTCCAGCGAGACCCCACCCACAACTCTTACTATCCACAGCATCTATATTTAAAACTGGACAGGTCACTAATGAGCTCCCACCAACCCAATGCAGCAGGGTTGAAGTCATGGCCGTTTGACTTTAAATGTCCTTCTCTGTGGGTGTTTGGATATAACCACTGTCTCTGAGTGTTTCTTCTTTCTTCCTTTTTTAAAGATTTATTTATTATTTATACAGAATCTGCCTGTATGTACACCTGCACACCAGAAGAGGGCAGCGGATCTCATTATAGATTCCACTATGTCGCTGCTGGGAATTGAACTCAGCAATTGTACTCTTTGGAAGAGCAGCCAGTGCTCTTAACCTCTGAGCCGTCTCTCCAGCCCCTGAGTGATTCTTATATCCCGCCACACCACCTTTTTAGATTTATAATTTGTGTGTTTCCTGGATGTACGGATCCACACCACATGCGTGGCTGGTGCCCACAGACATCAGAAGAGGGCACTGAACCTCAAGGAGCTGGAGTTGAGGAAGGTTGTCAGCCACCATGTGTGTGCTGGGAACCAAATGCTGATCCCAAGCGAAAGCGACAGTCACTCAGCCAGGTGGTGGCAGAGTGTGCCTGTAATCCCAGCACTCAGGAGGCAGAGGCAGGGGGATCCCTGTGAGTTCGAGGCCAGCCGGGTCTACAGAGTGAGTTCCAGGTCAGCCAAGGCTACACAGAGAGACCTTGTCTCAAAAAATAATAATAATAAAATCAAATAAAAGCAACAACTACTTTTACCTGAAGAGCATCTTCCCAGCCCTTTTTCTTACATTCTTTGGGTGCACCTGGCCACCTGTGTTAGGCCAGATGGCGCCTCCACCCCAACAACGCCGAAGATGTCATCACCATCCTAATCCCTGGAATTTACAATCATGCTGTATCACTCAGCAAAGGGACACGGGCCTCCTGACACAGTCCTGACATGGTCAGGTCGTTAGTCTCTGACCGTACCATAAAGGGATTATCCAGGATTATCTAGGTGGATCCAGTGTAAACACAGTGTTTAAAACGTGAGCTTGAGAGCCAGGTGACACACAGTGGAAGACCTGCTGTGTGGGCTGGGAAGGTGGGAGAAGAGAGCCAAGAGACCAGAAAATACAGGTGGCCTTGGAGACTGGAAAAAACCAGACCTGAGGCCTCTCTGGAGCCTCTACAACAGTACCCAGTCCTTCAGGCCCCCCTATTTTAACCTGGAAAGACCCATTTTAGACTTTGGTTCTAAAAGGCGATCACAGGGCTGGAGAGGCAGTTAAGAACATTGGAGGACCAAAGTTCAGTTCTCCGCACTGACATCAGGTGCCTCACTGCTGCCTGTATCTCCAGCTCTAGGGCGCTGATGCCCTCTTCTGGCCTCTTCAGACTCTACACTCACATGCACATCCCCGCACTCAGACTCACAGACAGAGCTGAGATTAAAGCAAGGGCTGGAGAGGTGACGGTTCTTCCAGAGGACTAGCTCAACTCTCGGTATTCACACCATGGTTCACTTCAGTTCCAGGGTGCCACAGTCCTCTTCTGACCTTCGAGAACACCAGGCATTTTCGTGGTGCACACACAAGCCTGTAGGCAAACACTAACCCACCTCAACTCCACCCCCCAAAGGAAAACCAGACAACACAGGAAAACAAACAAGCAAACAAAACAAAACAAAAGCCACAGTATAATGCACATTGGGACTCGTTAGCTGGTGGCGTTTTGTTAAGGAATGATGAGATCAATACGTCATGTTATCCTGCTGGGGAATAAACCTGTTCCTTCACACTGAGGCCCTCACCTAGAAGCAGCTCCTCGGATGGAGGCACGCTTGCACCCCAGGACCTCCTGCTTTGTCAGCGTCAGCGGAGGATGTGGGGACGGATGAGGGAGGGGTGCTGTGGTAAATGATCTGGGTCCCAGAGAAGAGGGACTGTTGGATGGTGAAGACAGTAGCATCGCAGGCCTTGGCGAAGCTCCGAGACAGGGCGGGGCTGACAGCTGGGGGTGACCCTGGTCAGGAGCACCTGGGTGAGGAAGGGGAAGGAGAACAAGGAAGACGCCAGGTGAGGGAACACCCAGTTCCTCTGGGACTTTCAAGTGACAGCTGTTGCCACAGACCGAGTCAAGAATGAGGGTGGCATGGCAGGACCATTGTCTCCATGACCGCTTTCCCAGGCTGTCTGCGCCTCCCCCACCCCGCCAACAGGATAAAGCCTGCTGTCCGGGCCAGGCGGATGCTGGAGCTGAGCAAGATGCAGGGCCTCGCAGGTGGGAGCCTCGCTCCCCTGGGCCTGCTCCTCATCTGTCTGTACCTGCCAGGTATGGACTGCTGGGGTCCTTGGGAGCCGGATTAAGGGTGAAGGCAGGAGGGTAGGTGCCTGCAGAAAGCGGCTTTCCAGAAGGGGCCAGCCAGTCAGAGCCGGCTCATTCACAGCTGCTTCATCTTCCTTTTCCTGCAGGCCTCTCTGCGCGGAGCATTGGGGCACCGGAGGAGAAAGCCTCCCCGCGTTCGGGACAACCTTCCTTCACCAGCCTCTCCAGCTCCGGGCAGCCTCAGCCCAAGCTCGATCCCCTCAATAATGAGTTACCAAGGGCTCTTCCAAGGCTCGGTGACTCCCCGCCAGGCGGCGCTGGATCTGAGGGGCCCAGAGGGCCTCCCTTCTGGAGCCCGTCCCCCTGGCTCTCAGAGGACCCTCAGCAAGGCGTGGCTGCTGCTGCCCAGGAGGCCGGGGACTACTTGGAGCAGGAGCCGCCGGAAGCCCTGCCATACCTTCCCGGAGGCGGTCCTCTGCCCGTGGCTTCCTTTGCCCACGTCAGGCAACCCTCACCAGAGACTTCCCGGCCTCAGGACTCAGAGCCCACATGGCAGCCCGGCTCCGGTCCACCGGGATCTGAGGCAGAAGCCCTTGCCCAGGGCCCGTTCTGGTTCCTCACCCACAGCTTTCTGCCTGCTTTACCCGGGAGCAGCCTAAATGCCAGAGCATCTTGGGGAGGTGGAGGGGCTGGAACCGGGTGGGGAGCCAGGCCCATGCCATACCCTTCTGGAATATGGGGTAGCAATGGTCAAGGATCAGGTGCTAAATTGGGGGTTAATGGCCGGAACCCAGTAGGCATCTGGGGGGGTAATGGCCGGTTCCCAGCAGGCGTCTGGGGGGGTAATCGCCTGTACCCGGCAGGCGTCTGGGGGGGTAATCGCCTGTACCCGGCAGGCGTCTGGGGGGGTAATCGCCTGTACCCGGCAGGCGTCTGGGGGGGTAATCGCCTGTACCCAGCAGGCGGCTGGGGGGGTAATCGCCTGTACCCAGCAGGCGGCTGGGGGGCGTAATTGTCGGTCCCCACCAGGCAGCTGGGGTCTAACAGAAGGGGCCTCCGAGCTCCTGGCCCTTCCAGCAGCCTCGCTTTTCTCCCCACCCCTTTGCAGCTGGTTTAGGACTCAGTGGAAGCATGCGCAGTCAGGCTCAGTCACAGTCACGTGGTTTCCCGTCACCTTTCCCCGCCCCCTGAGCCCCGGCTTCTCTGCCTCGCAGCCCTGGCTGTCCTGGACTCTGTAGAGCAGGCCGGCCTCGAGCTCACGGAGACCCACCTGCCTCTGCCTCCCGAGTGCTGGGACTATTCCTCTGTTGACCTGAGCTGGTTGCCAATAAACTCACGCGGTTCTTGCACGTGATTCCTCTCCGGGTCGTTTCTGGGAGTAACTGCAGCTCACCTGGGCCCTCCTCGTTTTCTGGCCGTCCCACCATCTCTCCAGGGGCCCCGTAGGCCTCACCTTGGCCCCTTTTTGGGGCGGGGAGAAAGACCAAAGCCCAGGAATGTGAGAGTGGGCCCACTCCATGCTCCCACCCTGTGGGGGGGAGGAGGGCCGGAGGGCGGGCGTGCCGAGGCCAGGAGGGACAGGTGCCGTCCCATTCAGGGAACACGGGCCCAGGGAAGGTCGTGCGGCCTGCGCTCGTCTTTTATCCCCCGACGGTCACGCTTCTTGGAAGGGGAGGGTGCACTGATCTCCGCCCTCATACGCACCACTGAGCGCTTTGTGTGCGCTCGGAGACTTGAACATGTGCGGCAGCCTTGACAAAGGGAGCGGAAGGAGGGCGCACCCCCCCCCCCCCCGGCCACCGCACCTGCTGCTTTGTTCGCTCGCTCGCTCGCTCACACCGCCCCTTCTCCCTCGGGTTTCCCAGGAGCCCAGCAGCCTGCTACAGGGAGGGAGGGAGAGGGCGGAGGCAGAAGTCAGGGGGACAGACAGCTGCGTTTTCTCCACCGTGTGCCCTCCCTGCAGCCCACACCCAGGAGGCTTGGCGGCCGGTAGGAGAGGGGCAGGGGGAGCCCGAGGGGCGCGAGTGGGGCGTGCTGCCCTGGTGTCCGTGAGAGAATTCCGTGTGGGAACACGTCCTCCCAAGCCCGTGTTTCCCCTAGCCGACCAGCCCTCTCGTCCCTCCTTGAACGTTTGATTCTCCCCAGTCCTAGGGTGAAAGTAGGGACGGCTTCCAGCTTCTCTTTTCCACAGGTCCTAGGTCGTTTCAGCCAAGCTCATTTCTCTCTCTGGTTGCCTTCCTTGCTGCAGTCACCTCTATTTGCATTTTTTTTCTTTCTTTCTTTCTTTCTTTCTTTTTTTTTTTTTTTTTTTTTTCTGAGACAGGGTTTCTCTGTGTAGCCCTGGCTGTCCTGGAACTCGCTCTGTAGACCAGGCTGGCCTCAAACTCACAGACATCCGCCGCCTTCTGCCTCTCCCAGAGCTCGGGATTAAAGACTTGTGCCGCCACCGCGCCTGCCCCCCCCCATTTTTTTTTTTTTTTTAACCAACAGGAAGGAGCACAGAGGCATGAAGAGACCCATACAGGTCACGGAGGGCAGGCGCAGTGACTTCCTCACCCGGCCAGGGAATGTTCAGAAACCAATGCACTCAGCAGAAATCCAGGCAACTTTTATTGTGTGTGCCAAGGTGTTTGGACATGATCCTTCTAGCTCATTCTTCCGGGACACGGCAGTGCCCTGTGCACGGGGGAGATACTGAGGCCCAGACAGAGTGGGGTGAGGGCTTGCACGCTGGCAACAGTAGCAGAGCGGACGAAGCTGGGAGTGTGATGGGAGAGGGCTCCCAGTGGTGTGTAGCAAGAATCGTGGCATTTTGGTTTCTTTAAAATAACACAGGCCGGTTGTGGTGGCGCAGGCTGGTAGGATTTGCTGAACGAGGCAGGAAGATCACAAATTTGAGGCCAGCCTGGGCTACACAGCTTTTTATTGGGCTGGAGAGACATCTCAGAGGTAAAGAGCGCTGGCTGCTCTTCCAAAGGTCCTGAGTTCAATTCCCAGCAACCACACGGGTGGCTCACAGCCATCTATAGTGCGATCTGGTGCCCACTTCCACCCTGCAGGCAGAACGCTATATAAATAATAAATAGTTCTTTTTTAAAACCCCACAAAGATGTTACAAGAATATGTTTTTATCTTAATCCCAGGTGTGGGGCTCGGGGCTGCTTCAGACTGTCCACAGCAGCAGACTGTGCTTTGCCTGGTGCTCTGGCAGAGGCGTGGTTTTGCCAGCTGCAGACAGTTTCTGGGAGTGTGTGACGTTTGGAATCCTGGGAACTTTCCAGAGGGGCCCCGAGAGGTGGGGTTGTTGGTTGTTGGTCCTTGGGGAGGGGGTGGTGGTTGCGGTTTGTTAGTAGTTCTTCTCAAAGAACCACAAAGTGCCAAAGAGCAGGCACAGTGGTCAGTCATGTCAGACTGGTCTCGAAACATGATTCATTTTTATGTGTCTGAGCGTTTTACTTCCGTGTATGTGTGTCACCAGCACGTGGTAGGGAGGTCAGGCGAGGGGGCAGGGTGGTCTGGAGAAGAGTTCCAGGCCGCTTAGACTCCCACATCTCGGTCCACTCAGGGCAGGAACTGAGGCAGAGCCCGCAGAGGAGTGCTGCTCCCTGGCTCTCTCTCCCCGGCTTGCTTGCTTTGACCTCTTACAGTGAGGACCACCTGGCCCGGGGCAGCACCACCCACAGTAAGCTGGGCCCTCCCACACCAGTCATTGCCCAGTGAAATGCCCCGCAGGCTCGCCTACTGGCCAGTCTCCCCGAGTGGGCCCCTGCACCCTCCTGCCATCCCTGAGCCTGGCCTTCATGACGAGCAGCCCCAGGCCTCCCGAGGACCTAGCCTCGCATTGGGAGTGCTACCCCAAGTTTCTTGAAAGGAAGAAAGGAATGCCGACCAGCAGGAGGTGGTGCCATGCTCCCTGAGTGCCGAGGCAGCTCCCTGTGGCTTCTCCTTGGGGGTAGACAGGTTGGGGACCCGGTGAGGTCTTGAACTCACTGTTACCCAGTCAGCACCCCCCCAGCAGCTTCTGCCCAGCTCTCGGCTGCCTACTTTCTGTCCCTGTGATTCGGCCTATCTGAAGCACTTCGTGTAAGAAGATCATGCAGGACTTGATCTTCTGTTAGCACCGTGTTTGCTGTGTGGCAGCGTGTACCAGTCCTTTGTCCTTTATTGTCATGGTGATGGTGGTGATGGTGATGATGGTGGTGATGGTGCCAATGATGATGATGATGACGGTGATAATGATGGTGGTGATGGTGATGATGATGGTGACAATGATGATGCTAATGATGGTGATGATGGTGAGGATGGTAGTGATGATGACTGTGATAATGATGGTGGTGATGGTGATGGCATGTCCCTTGGGCTAGTCGAATAGGTTCTACCTGAAAGATAGAGTGGGAATGATAGGGGCAGAGATTCGAAGAAGGGAGTCAAGACAGGTTTCTGATCAATACTCCTTTATTAGGCACTCAAGCAGCTTTTTTAAAATAAAAAATCACAAGTAACTTTCTCACGCTAACAGCTCATCTGCTCCACTTGGCAAAGCTTCCAAGGATTCACTCAAGGTTACACAAAGTTTGCTATCTGGTTCTCAGGAGCAGAGCATGTCGTTGGAGAAGCTGCCAAGGTCGTTTCTGAGAAACTGAACTTTAGATTAGACCCATATCCGCCAAGGCCAGGAGGCAAAATTCCATTACCAGACCCCTTCAATGGTGATGATGGTGGTGATGATGGTGATGGTGATTATGATGATGGATGATGATGGAATGATGATGGTGATGGTGGTGATGATGATGATGGTGATGATGGTGGTGATGATGATGGTGATGATGGTGGTGATGATGGATGATGATGGTGATGGTGAGGATGGTGATGATGATGACTCTGATGATGATGATGATGGTATCGATGATGATGATGATGGTGGTGATGATGATGGATGGTGATGATGGTGATGATGATGACTATGATGATGATGGTGATGGTAGTGATGATGATGGTGATGATGAGGGTGACGATGATGGTGGTGGTGATGGTAGTGATTGAGACAGGACCTTGCCAGGCTCACCCTGAACTTGGGATGAGCCTCCACCTAGCATGCCTCCCTCTTGCCAGCACTACAGGCTGGCATTAAAGGCCTGCAGGACCGTGACGGGTTATAACAGTTCGTTTTAGGCACACGGTGCTCACACAGTTTTTGAGAGCTCGCAGTCTGCTTTCTCCTGTAATAGAAACTACTTGTGGTCAACCCAACGACCTGAGTTCAATCCCCAAGACCCCCATAGCCGGGAGGGAACCGACTCCAGAAATACTGCACTCCACACGCGCAATGTAGTGCACTCGTGTACACACACACACACACACAGGCACACGCGCGCGCGCGCGCGCACACACACACACAAACTATTGAGCTACTAATAAATGTCAACATATCTTTAGGAGTCTACACTGAGTGTCATTACACAATCCATTTCCTCTTTCGAAATGCTGACTTGATCAGTTAGCACTGTTAAACGTACTTATTTCTATTTTCTGTAAATGTAATAATTGAAGATTGTATTATTATATTAAGTAATTGAGTTGACTCGAATAACTCTCCTTTTTAGTGATTTTTGGCATAAATGTTTCATCTTGGTACCTGATATTGAAGCTGCCTTCTCTGGCATTTCTGCCTTTGGCATTATTTGTCAGGCAGCTTTCTGAAAAGGGTATTCTGTTAGATTCACTTGTTTTGCGTGTATGAGTGTCTTGTGTACGGCAGGCATGCCTGAGGTCAGGCATTTCAGTCAGTGTGAGCTCCACGTGGCTGCCGGGAACTGAACCCCGGCTCTTTCTTCTGAAAGAGCAGCGAGTGCTCTCAACTGAGCCGTCTCTCAGGCCGGGCCAGCGGCCAGACAAGGTGCTGGCAGCCGAAGGAGGGCTTTTCTCCTGGGAAATCAGGGCGGCGCTCATGGTAGGGGCGTGTCTAGCACGCGTGGGGCCTTGAGTTTGGTCTCCAGCGTTGGAAATAAAAAG